CTTGCCTACCTGCCTACCTGCCTACGTACCTATACCTATGTGCCTACCTACGTACCTACCTGCGTACGTATGTCTGTACGCACGTACATATATGAAGTTACATGCATGCATCATGCATGGGTGTATGCGTGAATGAATGAATGAATGAATGAATGAATGAATGAATGTATGTATGTATGTATGTATGTATGGGCAGCAGACAACAGGGAACCTTTAGATTCAGAAACACATCGAGGTAGACTGCAATTCAGGTTTCGAGTTCTTGAGGCCGTCGCGCAACCACCGGAACAACTCGCCTGTGTAGCTGTGGTAGCTGCATGTAGAACACCTCGCCTGGCAGATTGAGTTTATGTATGCAGCGAGGAGAGCACTGGGTCTGGCACCCTGGAATCCTCCCACTTGCCTTCGAACCACTACGTCCTGGATTTAAAGGCTTGCGGCTGTGAACCACTAACGAGGCATGCCGCTGCATCCGATGAGCGTTTTCGACCGGCTCTACAAAGATGCCATCCGCAGACAGAATCGTTCGCAGGACGGCTTGCCAACAATCATCCTGAATCATTGGGTTTCAGTCGCAGTGGACACAGTGTTTCTTGACCTCTTTTCATTTGTTTCGTCATCCGCGTTCGGGCTGCAGGCTAGGGCTAGCAAGTATCGTTCATAGTGTGCCAATCTCCGTCATTCCTCTGAGGAGAAGTGGGTGGTCGACATGCGTAACGCGCAGCAAGAGACCTGGGCCGCTTTGTCTAGAAATTGCTTTCAAGCTTAAGGGGAGAAGTCTGTAGTGTACTCAGCCCAGTAGTTGCAAGGTTCCTTTGCCATCCTTCTTGAGAGAGCATCCAGTACTCAGACATTTTCGAGCTGACGATCAGTTTAAGTAGAGGTTGGGTCCAGGTTTGGGGGCGGAGGGGTCATGTTAAGGCTCCTGCAAGATACAGGAGACACTTTTCATTACTATAGGGTTCCATAATAGGGTCCGCTTTAAAGGGTACTGTAGGAGTCCCTTGAAGGAGCTCATGGGCTTTTCAACTAGGGTGTTGGGACAGCCGCCGCTAATTAAGGAGCGCATCCTTGGCATCTACGACGGCCCGCCGCTAACGAAGGAGTGTCAAGATGGTAAGCAGCGGGACGCTTGCGGTGTAGCTGGCAATGATGGCAGTTAACCCTAAACCCTAAACCCTTCCTGCAGACATCGGCCTTGTGGTTCAGCCACCCCCTTCCGATGATCAGCAGTGCCCCCGACTTCGCATCTGAGCCCCGGGAGGAGCAGGTGAATGCCTTGGTGGAGAACGGACTGATCGACATCAGGTGCGGTTTGCATAAGAACAAAAAAAGATGAATCAGTGTTTGAATCATTTTTTGGAAGCACTGAGCCAAGCCGTTTGTCGGGCGACTGTCAACGGCTCATAAACGTAAGGGTATTCCTCAGCGCAAAGGACCCCGACATGGGCGATTCCACGAAGCTTCGTTGTGAGATTCCAATGTTAATGTGGTGCATCGCGACGGTGTTGCATTGCTAGAGGTCATTGACTTTCTCTAGAAATGTCTTCATGAACCCCCCCAAGTAGTCCCTAGAATTATGTAGAACAAAAGTCAGCACATTATGTTTGGAGCAAGAGAAGTAGCCGCCTTTTCATGCTTGGTCGGAGACCTCGCAGGATGTTCGGCCTGGAGCCGAAGGAAACCAAGGAACCTCGCATGTTCTGCCCGCGCTGCGGCTCCACGATGAGGCATGGCTTTCTGAGGTTCAGGGCTTTTTGGGGCTCTTTGGGGCCCTTTGAACGGCGTTCCAAGTGTGCCAAGCTTAAGTGTGTTCGGGAGGTGGGAGTCGGGTGAAAGTTGAACTGAAAGCCATGCATCATGCGATGTTCTTGTATGGTTGAACCGCCGCAGGCTGCCATGTACTGTAACGCATGGAGTCGTACGATACGCGCACACAGAGACATGCGCACAAATGCGCTGAGGTGCAGAAGCTCACACACACACACACACGGAGAAATGGCCCTTCATCCAGTTGGTATGTCGGCTTTTGCCACTGTCTAACCATCACGATGTTACCTTAGTGATTGTCAAAACCTCAGGTGACCTCAGAACTGACATCAGCTTCACTCTGTACATTGCAGGTACACAATCTGGCGTCCCAGATTGCTTCACGGAGTATCCACAGCCGTCTTCGTTGGCAGCAGAACTGTGGACTCCCTGCTGCCATTCTAAACAAGTATGTATCCCCTGCATCTACAGAGACAAAGTGCATGTTACAAAGCTGTCCTTCCAATTCCCTTAGACACACACACGCACAGAAACTCTCAGCTTGCTTGTCACGTTTTCAGTCGACGAAGCAGAAATCAGCTTGTGCTTAGCAGCTTCTTTGCAACTACATCAGTTGCTGTTTTCGGGTCTTGCGGCTATGGCCAAGCAACACGAGCTTGCAAGTCCAATGGCCACAGTATTGAGGGCCGGAATCTCATGGAATTTCAAGTACACGGCTTCAGGGCCTCCACGCCCGACGACGCCTCTGCACAGCCCCGGCCGCACACGCATGGCGCGAGCCTCTCCGAGCCCGGGTCTCAGAAGAAATTAGGGGCTTCGGGGTTTGGGGTGTAGAGGTTACGAGGCTTGGGTTTGGGGTTTTAGGGTTTAGAGTTCAGGTTTTAGGGTTTAGGGTTCAGGGCTCAAAGGTTGAGGATTATTGGCGTTCGGCCACCGCACCTATGATATCCATGAACACAGCTAGGCGGTACTCTTTGTAGTCGTGCTACAATCAGCATACATGGCCTGATCACAACAAGAGCAACTGTCCTGCTCCTTCTGCTCGCATGGCGCGTTTCGGGTTGCTTCGCGATTCTGGGCCGTCAATGAGTGTTACATATAGGGAAATGCGGGCATGGCGCAGCATGTAGACGTAGGATTTAGGTCTCGTTTCAGGTTCTGGGAACTGGGACAGGCGCCCTCGAAGATGCCTTGCAAAGCCTGAGATACTCGAGATCCTTCAGCCCAGCATATCCGTCAGACAACAGCTCTCCAGACAGTCGTGCATCCCGAGAGATCCCTTTAGCCGTAAGCCGTAAACCTACTGGCTCCTGCGTCTGCCCGATCAGGCGGTCGAAGCCCAAGCTAGAGCGTGTCCGTACCTGGGCGGGCAGCGTGACGTCGCTACGCACTGCCGGAGCTTTTGGGGCTTAGGGGTGAAGGATTCGTGGTGCAGGGTAATGGTTCGGGATCGTTGGTTTCCTGGTTTACCATGCGGTTGAGTGTCGGTTCCAGTCGTCAGCAGTTCAGTCTTCGGATCTACAGTCAAAGTCTTTGTCTGTCCTCGTGGTGCATTTGGCTATTCATGCTATGCCCACAACGGCCAGCCAAGACCCAACAAGCCGAACCGACCGAAAGCACATCTCTTGTCTCTGTTGTTTGGCGATCGTTGGAAGGAGCCGTGGCAGTTCCACAAGGTGCCGTGGCAAGCTGTGCAGAGCAGCGAAGATCGGATGCGCATGCCGTGGCGTGCCCAAGGTGCCCTCACGTACACCAACGCAGAGGCCTTTACACGGAAGGAGCTCTAGACACACGTGACGGAGGGCTTGTTCTGTACTTCAGATGAGTGTCCGAGGGTTCTGCGGTGTGATTTTTATGTACTTTGCATGTCAATGTGTAAATGAGGACACCCAAAGCCGAGATGTGTTGCAACTTCTGGTGCGAGGGCTGTGAGCTTTGCAAGTAAAGAAAGACCTCCGATGTTCTTCAACCCCTCAAGCGGTCGAGGAGAAGTGATGGCTTCATACTTAGCCATCCTACAAGAGAGAGAGAGGTATCAAGTCTTGCCGTCGCCTCAGGACCTCTATCTGGACATCGTGGGCTTCCATCCTGCGTCTCCGCTTCAAGCCCTCTGGCTTGGTCGCGGCAGGTTTAACCCATAACCTGAGGGACCCTTGGGCCCGCCCTGAAGCCATCATCTGCTGGTGATATATATATATATATTATATTATATGATAATTATTACTATCATTCTTTTTATAGTGTTATTATTACTATTATTATTTTTCATTCATTATTATTACCAGTATTATTTATATTATTATTATTATTGTTATTATACTATGGTCAAATCTTGGTCACAGCCGCAAAACCGTCTGCTGAGGAGAGGAGACCCTTCGCCATCGTGAGCGAGGCGGACCAGCAGCTTGGACTTGGACCAAAAGCCCAGACGCTGCGTGGTTGGCTAAGGCCACTTAGTTCCCTTAACTCCCTTAACAAGCCCTGGCCCAACTGTGCGTCAGACCAGTTCCATCAGTGCAAGTTATTGAAAGTTGCACTTATCTGAAGCCCCCAAGTCGCGCAAGGAGGACATATCGGCCAACTGTGTTCCAGGAGACCCTAGTCCTAGTCACTGTTGTCGCCTCTCCTGCAGGATGTGTGAGGGGTTAACCTCGAGAGCACGATTGAGGCCGTAGACTCGACTAGGCAAGGTAGGCAAGGAGGCTTAAAGGCTTTCTTGGCCAGCAGGCCGTTGCATCGTTGCACTAGCTTTTCCAGGGCACTTGCGATTGGAAGGTCTGTAGTCTCTAGCTTAGTGCAGCTGGGCCAAAGATCGATCTCTCTCTCGCTCTCTCTCTCCCTCTCTCCGACCGTACTGCTGTTCCAAAACAAGGGTGCTAAAAAAGGGGACCGAGGGTGTGCTGTGCTTGTTTTGAGGTATCGGAAGCACTGTCGCTTGCAGCGGTTCACCGAGCCCAATGCACTGGACCCGGAGATTTTCTAGCGGACTCGGGTGTCAATGGATAGTGAAATGGCTTCAGGCGAAGGAATGTGAACTAAATGGCTTGTTTCATGAAGTTTCGGCATTTCCGTTTCAAAATCCCAGCTGCCTGGCAGAGTCTTTTGGGGCAGAACCCGGAGGCTGCATCACGACAAAAGCGCACGACAGTTGCGACAAGAACTGCTCTCATCGCGAAAAAACTCAGCACTGAGCTGCCTGCTGTCGAAGCCTTGCCTCAAGAGATCTTCAGCTCCAAGACTTGGAGCTTGACTGAACCTACAACTTGACCTATAAGCCCTAAGCCCCGTTTGCTCCGATATACTTCCGATTCTTTTTTTTTTTGGCAGGACTTGCCGCCAGCTGGCAGCTCCCAGAGCCCGAAGGCGAGAGAGGGCTCCGGCTCCCCCATGTCCCCGCCGCTTGGAAGTGAAGGGCAGGGCAGGGCGGGGTAGGACTCGGGTAGGAAGCGGCAGTGGGCGCCAGGGTTGGGTCTGTGATTTCGGGTCGTCGAATGGCTTCGGGCGATGGCGGAGAGCGGTGACGGGCCCTGCAACGAACGGGGTCCGAGCTGCGCGGTTCACCCCGAAGCAGCTCAAGCTCATGTTCCCTTACGAGGCTTGTAGGTACTGTAGCCACATGTGGCTACTGTACATGTGGCTACTGTGGCCTGAACAAGCTTCGAGGTCCAAGTCGGAGGCGGGCTCCTCTCCGGAGGCTCCGCCGGTTTCTCCGGCTTCCGCTCCACAGGCCCAGCTCTCGAGGGTCTCCCCGGCGTTCTGCTTCGGGTGATGTGTTGAGGGGTGAGGGTGTCTTTTGCTGGTTCTGCTTAGCCAAAAGCCGGGCATGCTCCTGTAGCCGTTTTGATTCTGTGACCATTCTGGGGTGAACAGCAGGTGCCTCTGGACTTCACCCTCACTCCGACGGCATCTTCAGCTGCCTGGTGCTCAAGCGCCTGTCTAGCTGAGACACCGGAAGAGACCGGAAGAGTGCGGACTCCTCCAAAGATTTTATGGTGCCGGCATCAAAAGCGAGTGTACGACTAGCCATGTGTTACCCACTCCGGGGTATTCTTCTACGACGACCTGCGTTGTGAAGTGTCGAGCACTGGCGCTCACATCCCAAATCACTTGCAAGACCCATGAGAAAAGCCCAGCGCACAACCTGGAGCCGTGACAATTGAGTGCCGAACCCGACACCTTCAAGGAGAAGAGGTTCCCGACCCTGAAACCAAGACAAAAGTGACAAAAGGTTGCAGTGTGCTCAAATTACACTCGAGCGCACAAGAATTCCGCATGGAGCGACGGTTCGCAGCCTGGAAGCTTGCGAGCGTGAGTCGGCCCACAGGCAAGCAGACTGTTTTGAAGGTGGCTGGAGCCGTAGAGTCTTGCCACCAAGCAGCTCGAAAGTGAGCCACAGCTCTCGCAGACACAGATTCCCCCCCCTTAATAATAGGTGGCAAGGTGGGGGGTTACATGCAGGCCCACCGATTTAAAATAGGTGGCCCACCTATTTCTGAAGCGTCCCCCACATCCAAAAAAATAGGTCTGG